GATCCTTCAACGATGGATTCCTTCTAAAATTTTCCGTCGATTGCTTGGCTGGTCATTCAAGCAAGGAAGGATCCAGGGACAACAAATCCGTTTTCCAGTCTTTTTGATCCTCAGTCACATGAACATCAAAGCTTCGTTTCGCTTTCTGCCGTTTCTAGAAAAAGAAATAAGCGCTCCTTTTTCGGAATAAGCACTTTCCCTCGTGGTGCCAAAATTAAATAAGCGCTCCGGGCGCTAAATTGAAATATTACGGTACTAAACTTTTGAAGAATTTGAAACTTAATCTATGCTGGAGTAACTGCCTAACTTGTGACTGTCAACTGAACGGAATATTTAAAATCCAAAAAAACTAGTGGTTTCCTCACCATTTACCTGATTTTGTGTTTTCTTCCTCTGTCTCAAATCTGGTCTTAAGAATTTTTTAATCAACAGGCACGGTCCAGCAAACCTAAGGAAATTCCGCCGAAGGAAACGCGATAAATCTTACTCGAAAAATGTCTATTTTCTTTGTTGCAAAATATTACGCAATGGAATAGAACTTCGCCAAGAGCATGCGTAAACTTTCGAATCTGTCGCCTTTTAACAATCCATCCCACGATGTTTTCTTTTCGGTTGACCACTTCTTCAAGCGTAGAAGGCCTATTAATATTACGGGTGCAGTCACTGGAAATTTTCGACTGCGTCTCGGGTTTGTATAATTTTCTCAAATTCTCCCAAGCCGTCCCTTCGTGTACAGATGACAGTATGCTAATAAGGAAAGGTCTCGATTGCTTAAATTCATTTAATTTGTTTTTTTTAATCAATTTATTAATTGAATTGATTGAATAAAGATCTGGAGGATTCAAATCAAATTAATAACTAGCAACAATTTTTAAGTACTTGTATATGACAGGGGGGTTAAAAAGCCATCAATGATTTCCTAACATAATGCATTTGCATAATCCATTAGATTTAGGCTATTTACTTTGAAAACTTTTAAAATACTGGACATTTGTGTTTGATTCTATTAAATTATAGTTTCTTTTTCTTTCAGCGTTGTAACCAGGGAATACGTAGAAGCTAGAAACATCAGTTTGCCTGGAAGGTAAGAAAAGAATTGAAAATATCATTAATGAGCTAGTATCATGAAGTTAGGAACTGTGAAGTTCACTAACTTTGCGTATCTATTTTCAACCTCTTTTTTGCAAGAGACAGTTGTGATTTGGGTGGGGGAGAAGGGGAAACGATTTATAATTGGTACGATAAGGGCAAACAAAGGGGTTGGTCAAGAAATTGGGGTAATTATTGTAATGAACAGAAGCCAAAACATTTGTGCTTTTTTTTTCCCTTTCTACTAAAGAACTAACGCGTGGATATTTTTTCATCTCCCCTTTAGTGTACCTGCCATTGTGCAGCCGAGGTGAGATCAGAATGTAATTTTTTTATTTCCATTTTATTTCGCAGAGATAATGTTTCACTCGATCACAAATTGTATTTTCGTCATACTATAAGTTGTAGATTTGTTGACGCGGTATACGTTTGACAAATTACAATGCAATAGAAAACTATATCGAATGTAGATTGGAAACATAATAAAGATGATTTTCATTGAGGCGAACCAGAGTTCATATTTGAAGTGAACTCATTATTACGTCACCACCACTGAAGATCTCTGTAGGTCAAGATCACAATATACACCGGAACATGGGCAAGATCAAATTAGGAGATCGTTTAAGATTTTTGAAGATCTCTGCCGTTTTCTGAGATCCCAGGAAGATCTGAAAATAACAGACGAGTGCTGGGTATAGTTGTTCTCCATCTAAACGTTTAGGGTCAACGATATATTTCTGCCACATTATTCCTTGAGGACGCTATACTTTGAGTCTAAATTAACTTATGGAGATAAACGTTGAAATTCAAGCCCTGTATAGGAAATTCATTCTCTTAGCCTGATCATATCCCAGTATTGAACATCCTCTTTTTCCTAAACAGTAATACTTGGTTTTTTTTGTTCCTCTCTCTCTTCAGTGCGTACCCCGCCTTACCTCCACCCCCACCACCCCCTCCCCCACCACCAAAAGAGTTCAGTTGGGTGGATTGTTGCTTCAAGTGTGATAGTGGATATGAGTGGTACGAACCAAGCGGAAAGGGTAAGTACGTGGTTATTGTAACAGAAGCAGGCCTAACAACTGACTCCTTCTCCAGAAAAAACCACACGTATAAGTTTGTTAATTACAATACTGTCAAGGCATTCGCTCTCATTAATTCCTGAACCACTCCACCCCCCCCTCCCCCACGAGAAACTACGAGTCTACGTTTGTCAGTTTTGGATGAGTTATTCTAGTTTTTGTAACAGCGTCCACGAAGGGCTATTTGACACCAGCTCGCACGAGGATTGGTGATAAAATAAAAAACCTCAGCTTAATTGCAATGTTATGTTCTTTTCCTCTCGTAAAATCTGGTTGAAAATGTGCTTTTCTGTTATTTGGCAGGCTTCTGCATTGTGTTGTTACTTCTCGTGGCTTATTTGATCGGTGGAGCTATCCTACTAGCCTACCTCATGTTACTTTGTCTTTTTGCCTTCTGCGGCGAGGATTAGTGACGACATTAGATCGTAGTGGTGAAATACTTGCTTTTACTCTATTTTACGTAGCGCTTTATATTTAACAAGTAAAATACTATTAGTAATACTTTTCTGTAAAATTGTGTTGTAGAAATCGTTGTGTCGGTGGTAAATTTTTACTTAATAGTAGCTTTTTATCTGAGCGTTTACTTAAGCTGTAGTTAAACTGATGGCTTTCAAGTCTTACACTATCAGATGATTTAATAAAGGAAATAGTAAAAAAGTCGAAAGACGTAATCCGCCAACACTGAGTCTATAAGATTTGAGTTTGAGATGTAAACCTGCAGTAC